GACTCTTTCTTTGTGTGGGTTTAAGGTCTATTCTAACATGAAGACAGTGTATCCTCAAATATGCAGACCTTGAGCCTGGTACTGACTAGGTCTACCTTCTGAGAGTCTATAAACTTGAAACGTTTCTGAGATTAAATTAGAAAACATTATGAATCTGTATTTTGGCTCCTGGAAGAGTCTTGTCTTTCTTGGAAAGCTTTTAATGAAGGTGTTAAGTGATTTGCATGCTTGAATACAGTCTAATGAACATGTTGGCGTTACTCTGGCTTGTCATGTGCTTTATGGGTCGTGTTCAAAACAATGGTTGTGCATGTTTTCAATTTCAGAAACCATTGGTGCATATGCATGCTTGATAATATATGTAATGGTGTAAAATATCTAATTATTCCCACATTAAATTTTCTGTCTGTTTGTTTTTCCTCATTTCCTTTCATTTGCATTTGCTAGGACCATCACAACATGGCCATGATGTTATTAGCACGGTGCATTTTAATTGTCTTTTTGATTGATTATTATGTTTACACATGTTAAAACACTGGTTACTATCAAAAAATATATAAAACAAAAGAAAAATTTTTTTATTTTAGATTTTGATATTGTTAGATGTAAAATTGGTGCGTGTAAAACACATTAGTTGTCAAGTTTTTGATTTTCTGAAAATGATACACAAAGAATCAGTTAATTTACCAAGATTATTATTCCTTTTTTTTTTATGCAAATTGATGCAAAAGAGTATTCTTTGGTTCTCAGTAGTGGTAGGCTTAGAAAATGTTTACGTAAGCTGAGATCTTCCATAGCCTATTTTAAGTCTCAGTCTAATTAGGTGGACTTGAAGTCACTTGAGACAGAAACAATTCAGTCATCTAAAAATAATTTAGGGCAGAATTGATCAATTATAGGTGTGGAATTGTGGCCACACATTGCCTTGAATATTATTTTTAGGGTGTTTATGCATTGTCACATCCTGTTCTACAAACATTTAGTGTTTTAGTGTGGTAATGTTTATTAGTACTGTGTGTACATTACATTTTAAAGGTTGATAATCGGTAAGCTGCATCAGTTTGCATCCTTGCCATCATACAAGTCATTTGACATTTGAATATTAGTTTGTTCTGTGCAAACACTGTATAATGTTTCAAGTCCCATGAGTCCCAAAGTTTGTTTACTTTCTTGTAGAGCCTGTTTTTGCTGCCATGAAACACATTTATCAATTATTTTTCCCTTCTGCCATTCACATAGTTTCTTTCCTCATAATATCCTTTTCTAAATTTTAAACCTATTGAAATTTATGTTAGTATTCTGTTATATTTTAATTAAAATCATCATGATGGCAACGATATATCGGAAAGAATTTGACTTTTGCCTGTCATTTACTTATATTGCATCCTTCCAGAACTCAACTATCTTTCCTCTTGTTTCCCTCCATCCATTTGTGCAGGTGGTCAGTCAGCGGTTTCCTCAGAACAGTATCGGTGCAGTAGGAAGTGCCATGTTCTTGCGCTTCATTAACCCAGCTATTGTATCACCATATGAGGCAGGCATCCTAGACAAGAAACCTCCACCTCGCATCGAGCGTGGCCTCAAGCTAATGTCTAAGGTAAGTAAAGTAATGCCATGTTCTTAGATATTATACATGTCTCCCATTTCCATCATCTGTGGTGAAGGATGTTGACTAACTGGCAAGATGAAATGTTTATTTATACCAATATGTTTATGTATACAAAATTTGTCTACAATATTTTTTTCTATTTTTTTTCAGATACTCCAGAGCATTGCTAATCATGTCCTTTTCACAAAAGAAGAGCATATGCGGCCCTTTAATGATTTTGTCAAAAGCAACTTTGATGCAGCCAGAAAGTATGTTTGTATTTGATTGATTCTCTTATATTAGATTATTTTTGTTTCTCTCTAGTGGAGATTCTTGATTTGTGCTAGATGTTCATCACATCAAAATATTTGATTATTTAACCTGAAAGAGAAACCTAAGTTTTAAATGAGTATATTTGTTAAAAGTAACTTTGGCCATGCTTTAGGGGAATGTGAGTATATATGTGTCCTTAACTTAAAGATATGGACTTAATGGCCATAAAACTCCTGTTGTGATTTTATCGAGTCTTGAAACACAATGTTTTAAACCCATCTGCTTCTCAGAAACTTTATGAACCTTGCACTTCAAAATGCCTAATTTCTTTTTTGTCAGGTTCTTCTTGGATATTGCATCTGATTCTCCGCCAAGTGATTCTGTGAACCACAGTCTGTCTTTCATCAGTGACGGCAATGTGCTCGCCCTGCACCGTCTGTTATGGAACAACCAGGAAAGAATCGGCCAATACCTGTCCAGCAACAGGTAAAATAGCTTCTAGATATACAAAGAATGTCAAGTCATTTGCAAGGTATATATATATAAGGTCTGTATGCTTGGGGTTTTTCAGTAACTAACCCATCTAGATACAATCTTTTGTAAAAGAAGTGTAAAAGAGTTTAGCGCATGGAAAATTTGTAATGTATACAGTTTTAACAAATCTTGTAATCAAACTTTAAACCATAGGGACCACAAGGCAGTGGGTCGCAGACCGTTTGACAAGATGGCCACCCTCCTGGCGTACCTGGGCCCCCCTGAACATAAGCCAGTAGCTGACACACACTGGTCCAGCCTTAACCTCACCAGCTCAAAGTTTGAGGAGTTTATGACAAGGTTACTGTTCTTGCCTTTGCCAAAAGCTTGGATTTCTCTTCTCTTTAAATTTTACTCAGATAGCAAGAGTGAAGATTTCTAGTTAATACGTTTTTTTACTGGTGTTATTCTCACCTTTTTCTGTCTGGAGATTATTGTAGCTTCTTTTTTTAAATTTATGGATATGTAGTAGTTTCATTTATGTTAGATCCAATGGTATTAATCTGTTTTAGCATCTGAAATGTCCTTTTATTCCAAAGCCAGTTATATAATGAAATTAACGTCAAGTGCACACACAAATATGCACATTCACACATGACGCATCAGTTCTGGCATTGCTAAGTTAACATTGCAGCCTATTCAGTATCAAACAAATATTGAGTCAACCAAACCAGAAAAGTTACTTGGCTCAATTTAAACTTTCTGTTGTATAGTAGTGACAACTGCTTCACCGCAGTAGTACACAATACACATTTTTGCACATGTTGCTATTTTATGTGAATTTTGGGATACCACGTGCAAGTCTTGTTTACATAATAAATAGTTTAGCAACCAAATTTTACATTGCAAATATGGTAAAATTTGGATTTGTGCTGAATGATAGAGGTATGTGGGCTTATATATTTGGATTGTGCCATATGTCAGCTTCATTTTTTTATATATATATATATATATATATATATATATATATTAGGCCTGGGCGATAAAACGGTAAAATGAGTGCTGTGCCTGCCTGTGATGAGGAGATTGTGAATTTAAAAAATGAATATTAGTCGAATTTAAAATAAACATTTGCATTTGAATGTTGGGAGTGCGTCAGGGAGCGTCATCAGTGGTGCACGAGATGCGGTGATAATGATCATGTAAGTGACATTGTTGCATTTTAATGTTCTGTCTAGCCCACGAGATGCGCCGCTGCTGTGCTATGCATTCAAAATATTAGAGAAATATAGAAGCTCAATGCGGAGAAGATTGTTTATGCAATTTACGAAATTATATTTGATTTATGAGTTAATTTAGACGTAATGCAGGTTTTTTTAGACATTTATTTTCTTGCGTTGACAATTTAAATGTGCTGCATTATTTTGCTCATTGTGCCCTCCTGTGGCCTCGGGAGACGAGCCAAAAGTTTCCTTCAGACCTATTTAATCTGCATATAAAACATTAGAAATTAGATATGTTTAATTTTTATTGTGTTTGACTGTTAAAACAAAAATATTTGTTGCTTGTCTCAATAAATTGGGTTAATTTAAAAATACAGCGGTTAAATTTAAACTTTTTTTTCTATTGCTCTGTTTTAAAAAAGGTTATAAAAAAATGTCAATAATTATCGATACCGAACGATATGAAACATTATACATTATACATTTTTTAGCTATATCGCCCAGCCCTAATATATATATATATATTCCATGAGTTATTCCGCTGGATTACAAATCTTTACTCATGTCTCACCATCTGTTGTTTTTTGTAGAGGTTGTTTATTTTACTCCTTTAGGTCATTTTTAGAAAATTCTTAGAAAATACTGGTCTGTGAATTCGTACAGAAATGTATTTTCTTGTGGGTTTCAGTTTTTATCTCACCTTAAATTCAGCTTTAGCTATTTGTTTTTTCCCCATTATTTTTGAATGGAATAATTAAATGCGATTTAATATGTTTTGGCTCGGTGTGACTTGTATTGAATTTTTTGTTTTTGTTTTCAGAAAATCTGGTATATAATTGGTATATAATTTTGGTTTTAATTAATTAGCAGCCTTAAGTTATAATCTTTTTTTTTTCAGGCATCAAGTCCATGAGAAGGAGGAATTTAAAGCTTTAAAGACTCTCAACATCTTTTACCAAGCTGGCACATCTAAGAATGGCAATCCTGTCTTTTACTACATTGCACGCAGGTAAGAGCTTTATTTCTGTGTCATGCTGCTTCGTTGTGATACCTGGCTTGTTGCTATTTGTGTTGTAACTTTTGAGCTGGGCATTCTGTTTTACTCCTCCTGTATCCGGTTCATAATGTTTATTCTCTTTAAGGTTTACACAAGTCATATTTGCATTTGTCTCTAAGAAGTTTGCATAAATTCACAGAATAGCAGCAGTGTGTTTTCATTATTAGTTTATTGATGTGTCACTCTTAGTACGTCATTATATACACAGCTATGTATGACTCCTAAATACCTCTTTTAATAATAAACACCCATCCTTAACCATTCTGCATTTGTGAGGTAATTTAGAAATGTCAGTGTCAACACATTTTTTTTTTCTATATACAATGATACATATTAGGGCTGTGCAATAAATCGCATGCGATTGTCATGCGCATCTCGTCAATACATATATTTTTCTAGTTTTTTATAGTGTTTGAGCAACAACAAAAAAATCGGTAATCTGTGTTTTAGATATTTGACAAACATAGGCGGTTTGTCAAATGGAGTTGATGATCATGTCTGGTGGAAGAGTTTAATAACCGCAGTGGAGGTGACAATATAGATCAAAAGTCCAGACATTCCTACGATCCCCATAGGTGAAAGAGTTGGTGCAGTAGAAATGGTGGTGGCTGGGCTGTTGGCTGTGGTGCTGGTTGCTGCTGTGCTGGTGGTTGTGGTGCTGGTGGTTGTGCTGTTGGTCATACTGTAGTTCGTGCCGTTGGTCATATTGTGGTTTGTGCAGTTGGTCGTGCCATTGGTCGTGCCATTGGTTGAGCAGTTGATGGCAGTAACTTTGGAGCCTGCAGTTATAAAAGTCCTGGTGGTTGTGCTGGCGGTTGTGCCGTTGACCGTGGCATTGGTCATGCCGTAGTTTGTACAGTTGGTCGTGCCATTGGCCGAGCAGTTGGTCGTGCCATTGGCCGAGCAGTTGGTCGTGCCATTTGCCGAGCAGTTGGTTGTGCCATTGGCTGTGCAGTTGGTCGTGCTGTTGGTTGTGCAGTTGATTGTTGTATTTGTTGCAGTGTCAGCAGCAGCAGCATTGGTAAGACCATAACTTGTAATCATTACAGCCACTAGCAATAGTAGTATCTGAGTTTTGGAAGCCATATTCAGGTCTCTCACTATTTAGATGGGGCAAACAACAAAAAATTATAGTGTTCTATATAGTAATGTTTTATTTTTATAATAAGACACATCACCTTAAAAAAAAAAACAAGTTCTTTATATAAAATAGTCATATTTACCGTTTGTTATGGATTATCGTTCTTTGTGTGTCTCAGTTCTCTAGAAGGATGCTGGTGTGAATGCCAGCGTGAAATGATGCCTTTTATTTGACTTACACGTTAAACCAACACCCTTGCAAGAGGCGGAGGTGTGTTATTATTGGAGGATAGAACTGAATACATTTGTAATTTTTTCATTTTTTATGTTAGTCTCTTGCATTCAAAGAGAAAGTTCACCCAAAAAGGAACATTCTGTCATTGTTTACTCACTCTCTTGTTTTTCCAAATCTGTTTGACTTACTTTCTTTTGTAGAACACAAAAGAAGATATTTTGACTATATAAACATTGATTTTCAAAGTTTCTTTGTTTCTTTTTCAAAATATAATTTTTTGTGTTCCAACAAAGGTAATACAGGTTTGGAATGACATGAGGGTAAGTAAATGATGACAGAATTTCCATTTTTTGGGTGAACTATCCTTTTAAGTGGTGTAATAAAACAGGCACTGATACTAGTCATACTGTTGAATGTTTATAGTAGGATATTAGGATCTTAAATTGTCAGATACATTTTCTTGATTTTGAAAGCAACAGTATAACTTCTACAGTTAAAATTATTTTATTAACACTGATGTATTATTTAAATAATAGGACTTCAATCAACATCAATTTGGTGTCACCCAGCAATATAATACCTATTTATTCTCTAGATTTTCAGGGAAAATCAGTGAGCTTTTTAATAGGGCTGGTCCGAATACCATTTTTTGAGCTTCGAAGCTGCGGTAGTAATGAACACCGAATATTCGAAGCTTCGGTGGGAGGGGGCTGAACATATTCTTCTCTCTAATAAAGGCAGGAATCTCTGTGTGTCTGTCTGTTTGCATCAGATATCATTTTTTGTCAATATCGCACACCCCTAAATTGTTATTTAATTGAGATAATAATTTATTGATAATACCGTATTGTCCCGAATATAAGACGACCCTGATTATAAGACGACCCCCCCTTTTTCCAGATGTACCTTTTGGACACAGGCTTTTTAAAAACCAAATCTTGTTTTTTCTCAGTAAAACACATTTTGTCTTCAATTATTTTCATATTGCATATTTTTCCTATTTTAATTTTTGTTTTGAAAGTATGGTAAAAACTGGTAAAATGTACCAACAATCACATTAAAAAAAATATACACTTTTTGATATACCAAATTTGTGCGCTATTTAAACCCGGATGATTGTAAC